TCAGCATGTGTATTGAGAACGAGTATCTTCATAATTCTGCTGGCTGTTTGTAGAAGAACTGCACAATAAAACAGTTTCAATACCAACACGACTTAGCAGATAACACGTAATAAAGCCCACTTTTACGCAGATTGTAGCACTACGTAATGTTACACAAACTAACAGTAGATGTTTTAAGGAATTCACAGAAATGACAATGATAGATAATGTAACGCATATACATTATACAGCACAAAATAAAGAGTAACAGTAATGTAGTCGTCTTTGGCCGGGTATGGCAAGTTATAGTACGTACATGTATCGGTTCAATCTTTAACGGGTAAGTTGACAGCAACAAGCAAGATGCATAGGTTCTATTACTTTTGTAGCTCACTTGCGTCTAGATTTGGGACGAACCCATGTTACATTTAATAAGTCATTTTTCGTCACAGTTTTTCATGTAGTGGTTACTTCGACAGCCTTTCCGCTGACGCAAACATACTAGTTTGGGGTTCCACAGTTCTTACAACGTTAGCGCTTGAAGTGGTGTTTTCCAAGTTTGTTGGTCTGGTGATGTTGTCTTTGTTGGCTTGTTGTCTGTCATTTCCCTCCATTTTTATGTTTGGCGGCCCGTCATCGATGGGTTGGGTTAGCTTCACAAATCTCGGCTTCGCTAAGATCCGTTCCTTCCCGTACGTAGTGGTCGCTCCATTAGCGCTAGTGCAGCCACATTTGAATGTGTAAAACTTAATGTCTACAGTCCCGTTTTGATTCGTTCATCAAAGTAGATTTTACTAAGGTATGACTTTACTAACTGATTGTGGAAGTACTAGTACTTAGTACTGATGTAAACAAGAAACAATATACGCGCTCTGGTTGAGTTCATGGCATTTACATGAAACAAGGTGCTAATAGCCGCTAGTCGGTGACGCGTCAGCAGCCCTATGATTGGTCCCCGCTAGAAATCTACTGGATGTCATATAGTGTACACGGGGGGGGTGGGGGGGGGGGACTATAATAAAGTAGGTAATAACATCTCTTTAGGGGTAAATAATGGACATGTTTGCGCATCTGAGTGGGAACAATGGATAATTGTTGAAAATGTTAAAAATGATTAGAAATGTTCGTTGCGTTGGGGCTCTACATGGGGGATATGAGAGTACTGATTTTACACAATTGATTACATCATATTTCTAATGCCCATTAGTAATTTTCCTGTTTATACAGTTGTCTCTAGCTTAAATGCCTAATATTCTTAGCCCTGTTGCTAGATTCTCCATATAAAACCCATAAAATTTTATTGTTGAAACAAAAATTACTAAATATAGCAAAAAATGCCTGTCAGAAACCAGTTGCCATGGCAACAAAAAAATTTATTATCTTATTGCAATGATAAATAATTTTTGCCAACAATGTTCTAGAAAAAGTCTCCAAGTTTGGCCGTTCAAACGCTAGCCGTTCAGACGCTAGGTGACATCAAAGTTGGCGCGGGCACTTTTAGCCCCCCCCCCCGGTCTAGGTAGGGTTAAGATATCTAAATCTATGATTAGAATAAAGCTCTGCTTAGTATTTCTTTCTTTCAGTTTCTTGTTTTTCTTGACTAAAAAGCTTCAGAAAGACCATTCTTGTTTTTCTTAGCAACATTTACGTTTTCTTGACAAACACTGATAAGAAAATAAATATTCAAGAAAGATATGAAATCTTTGATATGGCTGAAGATATGGCTACTATCATATTCTTAAACATTCTTGATATTCTTCCCTAGAAAGTTTCAGAAAGGCCATTCTTGTTTTTCTTAGCAAAATTTAAGAAAATACCAGAAAGTTTAAGAAAGATGATTCTTATTTTGCCTTGTGTACATAATGTTATAACATTTTTCTTAACTTTCTAGTTTTTTCCTGACTTATCATGTGGCCTTTTCTGAACCCCTGATTGAATGATTCAAATCCCAGAATGCAGTTAGGGGGTTTTGAACATAAGTCAGATGTGGAAGCTGGCTGGTTACTTATTTTTTGTCAGTTTTGTCATGTCAGATTTTAAGTCACAATCAAGTTAAAAAGGACCTTGTATACATGTGAAGCAATGGTGATCGTGGTCAGCTTGCAGGAGAAACCAACTTTGCAACAGAAAAAGCATGAAAACAAACAGTTTGGAATGTAAGTGTGTCCCCTCCCCACCTAGAAGAAAAATCTGTTGACATTGTTTTTAGACTTCATAGCCAAAATATTGTTACAATGCCATTGGAGTTGATTTCAAAGTCAAATCATATATCTGTTGCATTGTATAGTAAAGTGTATTACTGCTTTATAATATAATTTTCAAGTAATAGATGATGATTGTATTTTAGCATCCTCTTTTGACGTTGGTGCCTTCAGTGCATGCATGCAGTGCAAACTAACAAAGGTATTTCCTGTTTTTATTTTTTTCAGGTGTCCAAAGGGTGTGACTTTGCCAATTCTATCATGCCAAAACTGCAGTTTTTGCTGAAAATGTTTCAGAATGTGATATGGTCTACGTTCTGAAATCATAATGGCTTGTTAGTTACATCATATAATATTTTCAAAGTTACTGTTAAACTGTTTCCATTCCAAGAATGTTAATTGACTGATTGTATAGTTTGATTGGATACATTGTACAAAATCAATGTGGTAATAAACATCTCTATACTGTCCAAATACCTTTCAAAATAACATTTAGTTGCTATACAACATCATTGTCCTTTTTATATTTAGGTAGCACTATATATTTCTTTTCTTGTGGGCAGAATGGTTTTCTTGCTACAGGAAATGTGAGATCTTATTTCAAGAAATCTTTTCTTGTGTACAGAATGGTTTTCTTGCTACAAGAACAGTTAGATCTTAGTTCAAGAAATCTTTTCTTGTGTACAGAATGGTTTTCTTGCTACAAGAACAGTTAGATCTTAGTTCAAGAAATTTTTTCTTGTGTACAGAATGGTTTTCTTGCTACAAGAAATGTGAGATCATAGTTCAAGAAATCTTTTCTTGTGTACAGAATGACTTTCTTGCCACAAGAAGAGTTAGATCTTAGTTTAAGAAATCTTTTCTTGTGCACAGAATGGTTTTCTAGAAAACTTAGAAATTCTTACTGCAAGAATAATATTCTAAGGGTATTTAGTTCAAGATATATCTTACTATAAGAAAAATATGCTAAAATGCAGTTTCTTGAAATTCTTGTCTCCTGGACAATATTTTTTTTGGGTGAAGAATAATTTTCTAAGTGGAAGAAAATTTTTCTTCAAGAAAAACAAGATTGGCATTTTTGGTAGTGTAATTATACTAAAATAACGATTATACTAGTTACGATTGGTTATTACTAGTACACCATCCTCTTTAAATTTTGTGGCCTTAGAATATACATTCACGGGTTTAGGGGGGGGGGGCAATGAAACCAACCAATCCCAAGAATGCCCAAAAAAGCCAATTCTAGATAGGGTTAAACAAACCCTCAAAGCGTAATTTGAACGACTTTCTCGGAGTGGTTAAGACCCCACGTTTTCACGCCTGCGGAGCCCCTTGGATATAGGATAACGTCAATAGCTTTGTTACCCGAAATAAAATCACGGAATAGATTTACTATATATAATATGGTTCATATTTGTGTTTAGATATTCTTTCCCGTTCAGAGGTTTCCGTAAAACAAAGGGTTTAACAAGTCGCGGGTTTGCTGTAAATGACCGCGGAAAACTGCAGATCGAAAGCCCGTTCTGTTCGAATTACGTAAGATTGACGGTAATGAAGACGGTTGCGACTTTTGGGCCCAGATGCGTCCAATGTGGGACCTTATAATAGTCTTTATAGGGTCCTTGCATTTTATATTAGCGATGATGACATACATTGAGTAGACTTATTTCTTTAATGCCTTGGAAAGCTTGAACAGAATAAAACATTTGTTTAGCCAAGCATATATTCTTTAGATAACTTTCATCACATCAAACATATTAATTAACACATAAACAGATAATACAGATAAACACATTAATCTTCGGTATCAACTATCATTTCCAGATCAAGCAGCTAAGGAAGGTATCTTACAGAAGTATGCGGTGTCGGCTGGAAACTTGGATCTCAGCCATTCTTTATTGTACCGCATGTGGTTCCATAGGGCGCCATATTGTTCATCTGGGGTGTGGATGTAATCATCTTCGTCAGGAGGCAAGCCCCAAGAGATAGGGTTACCCGACTTTGGTATCAGCACAGGCAACTTGTGGATGATTGCGTATCTTTGGAAAACGTTCGAGGTGGTGACAGTCCCGGTTTTATGCGTTGCAATAAACACAAACTTCCTTCGTGGAGTACAAGTACCAGCTCTCCCGGCCACTTCCCTTCTTGATTCTTGTGTAGGTGAAATCCTAAAAAAAATACTTTTTAATTAATTTTTGGGGGCTTTTTTTCTTGGCGTATTTACTATGCCTGACCTTCCTTTAGTATATATAGTATACTAGTATACGATATAGTGTATATGAATAATTTAATTGTATGAATTTTTCTCCTCCTCCAAGTCCCAAAGTGCATGAACTCCCAACATGGTAGTAAAGGCAGGTGCCACGGGTATTTGTCGGAAGTACTCATGTGTTATATCTACTTACGTTATCATGAGCCTGTATTAAAAACATGACGTCAACGAAGATGTTCATTCCACCATTTTAATGACTTCAGCCCCGGGCAACGGTTGTGCAATGTCTTTTATTCTAAACGAAGGTATCAGTATGGCGCATTCACGATGATCGTTTTAAAAAAACTGAATTATGATATACACAAAGCGATAAATATCTAGAGCGTTATTTAAAAAAAGTATTAAAAACTAATCAACTATTCGTCAGATGTGTAGAGTCGTGGCATCTTCATACAGCACTTGTCTTTTGAGGTAGAAATAAGAAAAAAAGCATCCGCTGCTTCAGAGTACGTAAATAGGACGAGGACGGGAAATAGGAGGGTTCTTTATGTAGATGAAGTTTTAAAAGAATCCGATTCTGGATTGGAAGAGTCTATTACTAGTCCTGAAGAAGGAGAAGCGGACTGTGACGATGAAAGCGACGTGGAAGGCGCGTGGGCACTTTACCTGGACCGGACCGGACCGTTCTACGACCCCCCGATAAGTAAAAAGTTCCCCAGTGTACTTTAGAGGCACAACATAGGTTCGGATGCGATGACGGTGTTTGTAGAAAACTTTTTGCACCCTTAACCCTATGTAGACGGGGGGGTAAAAGGGCATTATTTTGCTAAATTCAGTTAGTTTAGTTTCAACAATAGAATTTTATGGGTTTTATGTCAAGTTGCATATAATTTTATGTAAATTTCATCATTAAAATGCATAATTTTATGACGTCATTGGCCAAAATCCAAGATGGCGGACCATATTATTAGAACAGGTACGTATATACAGGTTATTTTCCTTAAAATTTCATCAATACTTCCATTTCTTTTTGCAAAAAAAGGTTCTTATGAACGTTTTTAGTCTGTTTACAATGTATTTTAGGCTTGATCCTGAAAAAACGATTTTTGAAAATTCAAGATTGATGATCCAAGATAGCGGATAGCCTAAATATGCATAACGCCAGTTTATGACGTCACCGGTGTTGCTATGGGCAACATAAGACTTAGTACACCCTAATATTCTGTCATAAACACTTGGTAAAGTTATGTTGTATACCATTTAGTTTTCAGGGAATAACCTATCTAGACGGTTTTGGCCAATAAAATCACATTTATGACGTCATGGTGACGTCATTTTACGCCATAACGACATAAAATAGTTTCGATAAATATTTACTAGTACACTATTCTCTAAAATAATTGGTGGTCATACGACATACCGTTCGCGATTTCTGGGGGGGGGGTCGAAAGCCTAAGCGTAGACAACTTCAAATATTTAGGGTCTCGCATTCAAAACTCCAAAAAGATTTGGAAACCAGATAAACTCTGGCTTGGGAAGCAAGTAACAAATTGGATAATGTTTGGAGATCTAACATTCCTAACAAATTGAAGGTCCAAGTCGTTTGTACCATAGTATAGCCAAACGATGCGGAGACAGGGCCACTTACGTGTTCACTCCAAAACACATTAGATGGAACTTACACTAAGTTACTACGAAAAGGCAAAACATACCGTCGACACAACAAAGTGCTATTCAAAAAATATATGTGGTGTATTCCGAGGCTGTCTCAAAAACTCACCCACCGCAGGGTAAAACTTGGCCAGACATTGTTATCGAGCTAAACAGGAAAATGTTTCGTCTGTCCTTCTCTGGAAGCCAAGAGGTCGAGTACACGTTAGAAATCTGACTCTTACCGATTCCTTAACTCGAGACCCTGGTAAAGATGTAGTTAGGAAATTATATGTGCTGGCTAGTACACCGAGGTCCTCGACAGGTCGAAGTCCAGGACCCTGTTTGCCATGATCAGCGAGCGTCGCCTAAGATGGCTTGGACATGTACGCCGTATGGGAAAAGGCCGCATTCCCAAGGACCACGAAATCTGGACTGTCGACTGTCACATCACATATTCCCGGTCACCAGAAATGTCGAAAATTTCACAGAGGCAGTCCCTACATTGACAATCATTAAATCGTTGAGGCGGTATGCAACCAGAGGTGGGTCCTGGAAGATGCCCCTTGTTCTTAATGAGAGTTGGAGCAGGTTCCAGTATTTCTTGATGGTGGTTTGAAGAGGCGGGAGGTGTGTTCTTACCAGGACTGTGCGATCTTGTGGTGTTGTGGGTGTCTTCTTCTGTAATGTGTCTTCCCGGGAGCGCTCCTGTGCACGAGTGATGGCGGCGTCCAGTAGGGTCTCTTCGTAACCCCTTTTCTGAAAGTGATGTCGGAACTCAGAGGCCTTTTCTCTGTATCTGCTTGTGCTTGAGCAGATGCGTCGTATGTGCAGGAACTGTCCATAGGGGATTCCTAGTTTGCAGTGTTTGGGATGTGCGGAGTTGCGGAGTAGGTATTGGTGTTTGTCTGTCGGTTTGGTTGTATAAGTCTGTAGTGATTTCTCCTTCCGAAATGTTGACCGTGACATCCAGGAAGTTGATAGTGGTCTTGGAGGTTTCCACTGTGAACTTGATGGTCCTGTGGGCTTGGTTGAGGTCCTGAATGAAGGACTTTAGTTCCTCCTCTGACCTGGTCCAGACTGCGAAGATGTCATCTATGTATCTCCACCATTTCCACGGTCTCACGGTTCTTTTGTAGACGAAACGGTCCTCGAAGTGTCCCATAAAGATGTTCGCGTAGGATGGGGCCACTCTAGTTCCCATTGCTGTACCCTGTACTTGGATGTAGTGATCCTCGTTGAATTCGAAGTTGTTGAGGTTTAGTATCCTGTCCAGTAGTTGGCAGATAGCTTCAGTGGGTAAGTCTGCTTGATCGTTCTGCAGTGCTTCCCTGCATGCTTTTATCCCTTCGTCTGTGGGTATGGTGGTATACAGGGAAGAGACATCCAGCGTGACGAGGATGGCATTCTGTGGTACCTTCCCGAGTTTTTTTTCAGTCTACGTAGGAAGTCCGTGGTGTCTTTGATGTAAGAGGGGAGTCTTGTGACTAGTGGGTGGAGATGGAAGTCGGCGAAGTCTGAGATTCTTTCCGTGGCGCAGTCGTTGGCCGAAAGTATCGGTCTTCCGGGTTGCCTTTCTTGTGGATTTTCGGAAGGAGGTAGAAGATTGGTGTTCTGGGGCAAACGGGTGGTGATAGATAGTTGTATGTGGTGTCGTCTATGGTGCCGTCTTCTCTGAGGTGTAGTAAAGTGCGTCTCACCTTTTTTTATCTATGTCAGCTCTCACTCAGCATTAGCAGCAGGACTGCCTTAGTAGACAGAACGCTGTCAAAGTTTTGCGCTGAGGAAAGAATCCTTGTCTGTCCCTGATCTTAGCGATCTCCCTTGGAAGACTGTTCCAGAGCCTAACAGTTGTTGGTACAAAAGTTCTCATATGACTGTTGGTGTGGGAGACAGGGACCACCAGAGTGTTTTTGTGATGTGATGTTGACTGGCGTGTCACCCGCCGCACCTCTTTTTGTTTAGGAACAAGGTCATTTAGCAGGGCTGGTGCCTCTCTATGGTACATACGGTTGAAGAGAGTCAATGCACCAACTTTCCTGCGGTGGTCCAAAGGTTGGATGCGCGCCTTGGACAGACCAGTTGGAGAAAGTTTCATGATTTTCAGGGCTCTCCTTTGTATAGAGTCAAGCCTAGCTAGTTCAGCTTCGCATGCAGGCAAGCGGTGTTGCCGATGACGGCTGTCTTTTCTATCTTTAGCCCCATTGGAACAAGGTCTTCCTCGAGGTACTTTAGAAGTGTTTCTCGGTGCATCTCGTACCTTACAATCTTGTCCGTGGTCTTGACCAGCTTCCTCTGGAGCAGGATGTGTTCGGTGGCCGGCGTGCGTTCGTTCTTCCGCTGTGCCTGCCGTTTGGCGAAGACCCGCTTCTTGTTCGCTGGTTCTAGTTCTAGAACGGAGGTGCTGAATCCGTCCTGAATCTGTCAGCTCTGTGCTGCTCGTCGGTGCTTCTCTCGTCATTTTCTCGCATCGTAGTCTCCAAGCCGGATGTACCGACCTCGGTCGATGATACGGCATCCTCCCACCATGTGGTAGTAAACATAGTCAAGAGTTCGTCAGAATGATGACGGCCGTCATCCTTCTTACGAACTCTTGACACTGTACCTGACTCTATTTTGGACTCGCTTCAGTTGTCAGAAGAAGAGGTACGCCAACAACTGCGCAGCCTGCAAGTCGGAAAGTCAGGTGGTCACGACAAGATCACTCCGAGGCTATTACGCCTAGTTGATGACCCGATATCAGTTCCTCCAACTCGTCTGTACAACAAACCTCTCCTTCTTAGCCAAGTTCCTACAGAATGGAAAAAGGCTAACGTAACACCCCTTCACAAAACTGGCAACCGTCACCTCACAAACAACTACAGGCCCATATCCTTGCTTAGCACAGTCTCAAAAGTTCTAGAGACACTTTGTTAACAAACGTTTAACGGCTCATGTCAACCGGATATTAACTGACAACCAAAGCGGGTGTCGACCACTTGACAACACAACCTTCCAGTTGACTCCATTGGTAGAGGAGTGGACTGATGCAATGGATAGAGGAGAAATAGTGGGCCGTGTATTTCTAGACCTTCGGAAAACCTTTGATAAGGTTTGGCACGCAGGACTTCTGTCTTCTTCAAACTAAAAGCGTATGGAATCAGTGGACTCATGCATGACTGGTTATCCAGTTACCTCTCGGACAGAAAACAACGAGTGGTCATCCAGGGTGCAACGTCTGCATGGAAGTCCCCATTAGCCGGAGTACCGCAAGGTTCCGTCCTAGGACCAACGATTTTCATTCTTTACATCAATGACCTTGCCATCAGCCGTACAACAATGTCTGGCCAACTTATTTGCCGACGACCCATCTGTTATCTGTCATTCTCCCATTATTCTGTTCATCGCGTAGTTGCAACACTAAACCGAGAGTTGAGTACTGTGTCGACCTGGCTTTCTTCATGGAAACTAGAAGCCAACATAGACAAGTGCAAAGTCATGTTCATTACAACTCGTACTCTACCACAACCGATTCCCCCTTTGACCCTGGTAGGAACTGTACTGCAAGTTGTCACCAGCCACAATCACTCTCGCGAATACCCTGTCCTGGTCACAACACATCGAGGTCATCTCTACCAAAGCAAGACGTTCTTCAGGACTGTTATGTGCCCTAAGAAGGAAAATTCCCCAAAACTTACTGCTCCGGCTGTACATCACCATTACAAACTGGGTAATGGGCATGACAAACCGGGCACGGTTCTGGACAGTCAGGCCGTGTCCCGTTCTGTGCCCGCTCAGGCACGGAATGGGACGGGCACAATTTGAGACACAACAGTGGTCCCCTTTCCACGATAGTTATCGTGGAAGGTGATCGAATAGGGTGCCTGCGATTGAGTTAAAATATTCTAAAAATTCATGGTGGTTGGTCCGGCTGTACATCACCATTACAAACTGGGTAATGGGCATGACAAACCGGGCACGGTTCTGGACAGTCAGGCCGTGTCCCGTTCTGTGCCCGCTCAGGCACGGAATGGGACGGGCAC